CACCGCAGAATCTCATGACCATTTTTTTGGGGGGTTGTTTGGATCTCGGTATTTTCCATCTATATTTCCATACTTACTTTAAGAATCAACACAACGATTCAACTTATAGTAATCGTTGTTTGCTTTCATCCAATGCAATCCTATGGAGGTACAATGGAGATCTAATTTGGGCAATTGAAGGCATAGATGTCAGAAATTGAACCCAGATTTGGACGGTTGAGCGAAACGTGATTGATAGTTACCATGTATACTCTGAATTTTGCATTGTTTAGGTTAGTTACTGTTTGATTTACTTTTATCTTCTTGGTTAATTGCCTTGTGTATCATGTGTTAAGTTGAACCATGAGTAAAATTATAACATTTCAATAGCCGATTAAGAATATTTTGTTTATGAACTTTTGTGGGTAATTTTAATTGTGTTCTTACGAAACTCCAAAAACATTTGTGTAACTTTGTAATTCAGCAAAATTGGGCATGGTTGGTAAATGATTTTTGTTTTTTTAAATAGTTTGTTGATTCTAACATTACGATGTATTTGTTTTTGTAAGAAGTTTGTCCTCAGTATGTTTGAATTTTTTGTAATTAAATCAACGAAACCTTAAAAACCCCTTATATGTTGAACTGTCCTAAATTGTTAATGTAGAATCGGGAAAACTGTTGTTGTTTATAAATTGTAGATTCCATACATTGATACATAAGGTGTTCTTCAAAGTATTCTGATTATTTGCAGGTTTTATCAAATGGAATCGATTGGCAAGTCCTGTAACTCTTACCATGGCTTCGTGCTGGGGATAGCCGTACTGGTTAGTTCATAGTCTTCTTATTCAATTTTGTATGCCATGGTCTCATACTTTTACACAACTCTTTTAGAATAAGATTAGTTAAAAATTAAGAAATGAATATTTGTTAGGATAATCTGCAAAAATGCTGTAAAAAAATACTAAAAGAGTTACTATGAATAGTTTAAAAGAACTGTGTGTTAAAAAATGAAAAACAAAATGTTCTTCTGGAATTGCAACACAAACTCAACTTCCCTTGTCTGTTGCTCTCTGGAATTTTAACCTACACAGACAAAGAAATACTATAGAAGAGATGCATATCATAAACATATACATATTAGTTTGACCAAAAAAAAAAAAAAAACATATACATATTAAGTAGTAGAGTATGTTTGAAACTTATACCTTTTATGAAATGACAACAGTATCACGTTCCCTTAATTCCTCATATTCCATTGAAATTTCTTTAAACACAACATTCATTATTTGCTTATATTTTTTTTCCCTTCTTCATCAACTATAAGAACTTTCAAACCCTTCTTTGCTGTCTATTTCACTTGATAGATCTTCCATGCGACTGACAATGGTTTGAGTCATAAAACTCATCTTGAAACGATGATTGGTTATTATGAATTGGCCACCGGCAATGCCTAAACCAGATTTTCAATTGATCTCCATTCGCTTTGATTAATCTTGATCTGGAATAGATTGATCAATTCCTTTTTCACCGAAGCATGGATTTTTGTGCCCTATAACAGATTTCGTAACAATTGGTTAGTCACGGTATGAAGATTAAAATGAGTGAAAACATAAATGTCAAAATCGATCTATATACCTCCATATCAGCCAAAACCATATTGAATGCCTCTACAAATTTGGTGGAGTACGTCTTTCACGTATGGAGAACCCTTACTTGGATCTTCCAAGTAGTCTTGTTTGGTTTCACTTCATGAAGAAATACAAAAGATGCCGACATCGTTAAGTTTGCTTGTAGAGTATAAAGATGTGTTTTTTTTGGTGGTGTATTGAATCACGATTAGGCTTGTATTTATAGCTAGGTTGGAAGATGATAGGGTAGGTTTTCATGTATACGGATTGGCTTGCGAGAGACTTTGGGTCTATATGATTTTGATGCAATATTAGGAAAATAATATGTCTATGAATCAATAATTAGCGACAATTATGTATCTTTGAATGTTTATACTGCTTTGATTGATTGGAATTTAGGATTACGTCTATTGAGGGAATGATTTCCGATTTGATAAATTGATTCATTATGGTGGCTGATTTTCGACGTATTAATTGCAGGAAATAACGACACATAACGTGTGGGCACAAAGACTTAAAAATTGCGTGGTCGATTTTTAAAAGTTAGTCTTTAATGTATAGTAAGCCCAATATAAACGAAAGCCCATCCATCTAATTGACTCCTCCAAATTAGCAAGGATCCAATTATGTATTTACCGGGTTATAAGGGACGCGCGGACCCTTCATGGGTATGAAATTTATTATAATTATTTTACGATTTTAACCCTGTCGATTTAGAAAAAGGCTCTCTTTCATAACAAATTGAAGGGCAAATTTCGGAATTTTTTGACAAAGTTTTCTGATTTTCAATTTTGTACTCCTCTTTTAATATTAAGAAGATTGCTATTTAAAAAATAAATAAAAAAGGAAATTACTATATTGCCGATGTAATAACGTAAGACATCGGCAAAATCATTCCTTCAAAAAAAAAAACACACAAGCCTTCGACTCCCTTTGGTTCGTTTTGTCGCCGGCGATTTAGAGAGATGTGGGAATCGATTTGCCTAACGCTTGCGGCCACCGCCGGTAACAATATCGGCAAGGTTCTCCAGAAGAAAGGCACTATTATCCTCCCTCCTCTCTCCCTTAAGCTCAAGGTCTCTCTCTCCCTCATATTCTAATCTTCATATTTCTCCCTTTTGGATTTTGATAGCATGCTGCTGCTATTTTGAGTCTGAATCGTTTATTTCTTTGGACGGATCCCTAAAGGTTAACCTAATATTGGGGAAATCTATCATCTGAGGAATTCGGAATTTGAATTTCGTGTTAGAGACAATCTCATTCTATGATAGGATTGTTGTTTCCAGTATACGAGAATTGGATCGGTGTCAAAATATTCTGATTCAAACCAATTGCTGAGGCCCGATTTTGATTGTTCATTGTGTTGAATTAGAGAGGTGGTTGGACAATATAGTGCTGTGGAAAGCTTACATTGTATCAATTATTGCAGGTAATAAGGGCATATGCTGTTAACAAACCTTGGGCACTTGGTTTTCTTATGGACATTGTTGGGGCTCTCTTGATGCTTCGAGCACTCTCGCTTGCCCCTGTAAGTAGATTTTTGAGATATGTCTGGTATGAGAATTGGCTTGTTGCGGATTTATTAACTATAGACACTGATGATTGTCAACCTTCTGCCTTTCAGGTGTCTGTTGTTCAACCTGTCTCAGGATGTGGACTTGCCATTCTTTCTGTCTTTTCCCATTTTTATCTGAAGGAAGTCATGAATGTTTTTGACTGGATTGGGATTACCGTCGCTGGCATTGGCACCATAGGTAACATTAATTGTTGTTGATTCTTTTACTGTTTCTCACTATCATACTGTAATCTGTTAAATATATTATGATAGTTGAGAGAATTACCTGTTCTAATAAATTTAGGATTTGTACATTTGCTCTAGGAGTTGGTGCTGGTGGTGAGGAGCAAGAAGCATCACTAATATCTGTCTTCCAGTTGCTCTGGCTAGCATTGGTTGTTGCCATCTTGTTTGTAGGTACCTTTCATCCATGGTATTTCATAAGAAAAGTCTTCCCTCTTTAGGCGTCATCTCCTTTGTATCTGATGTTGGCTTCATGGCTTTTCCCTGTCCTTTTTATATCATTACAAAGTCGGATCATTAGAACCATTGTGTTTGTTATTTTTTTCATCTTTATCAGATAATATCTCTTAGTATGTATGGTACTGGCATGTTTCTGATAAATTTTGTGTTGGATTTTGGGGTTAAGGTACTACTAAATGCGTGGCTTCATATCTTCAAACGCCAGCGCAGGGAGCAGGAGCTGGTATTTTATCCTATTAAACTTTTTAATTGCTTAGATTTTTGAACCATAAGCTTTTAGCACCTTTATTGCTATTGTCTTTTCATTTCTCCTACCAGATGCACTTATCCTAATTCTGGTTTGCAGGGGGAATATGAAGTAGTGGAAGAAATTATATATGGCTTGGAATCTGGGATTTTATTCGGGTACCTTCTACGACCCCTTAACATCCAATAGAATGTATTGGTCTATGTGACGAGCCTCGGATACTCATCATCATCTCCCTTTATATCCATTAAGTGGGGTTTTTAGTTTCGAGACATATAAGGACCAATATGCGGATTTGCCTGCAGGAACTTTTTCATATATAGACTAGAACTATATATGAACTGTATTTATAGCTTGTTGCATAGCTGACAACAGTCTATCACTCATCTGATTACAGAATGGCATCTGTAGTATCAAAGATGGGTTTTGTATTCGTGGAGCAGGGGTTTTCTGCAATGTTCATTCCTATGTGCATTTCGATTAGTATATGCTGTAGTGGAACAGGATTTTTCTACCAGGTACTTTGTCCATGCTAGTCCGTTTCTACTTTCATTTATAACATAAAGGACCCTCTATCTGTAGTTTTTGGTAGGTTGATAGTTAGGTTCATCATGATTCTAGTCTTCTTTTTGTTTTTACTTTACCAGACTCGGGGGCTAAAACATGGGAGAGCAATCGTAGTATCCACTTGTGCTGCTGTGGCATCAATTGTAACTGGTGTAGTTGCAGGAATGTTCGCTCTGGGTGAGAAATTACCCACCTCACCATCTGGACGACTTTTACTTCTCTTAGGATGGTAAATTCTACTCACCATTTCTTAGTGTTAGTGTGCTAGTTGAAACATATTCTATCACAGTAATTAGAGATCAACATCGCGTGCACACACAAAACTTGCAAAAGATCCTAGTTGAAACAAATTCTATCAGTCATTAAAGGTGAAACATCGTGTACACACAAAAAGAAATGCAAAAGATCTCTCCAAAAAGATTGTTCCTTCCATATAACACTATGTGCATGAACATAGAACCGGTACAGATATTTGTTTTTTTTAGTAATTGGAGATTCTTGAAACTTTTTGCAGGATACTTATCATGCTAGGTGTTGTATTACTCGTGACATCATCAAGGCTTATCAGGCATCTTCCACGGTCATTCCGGCGTTCCAGACAAACTAGTTTAGAAAGAGGTTTCAACATAAGGCGGACAGCTTCTCACGTAGCAAAGGATACAAACCCAAGTGCGGTGATCCAAACAGCAACATTACACCATCTCTTATCAGTCCCATCAAAGGACAAAGACTAAAGGGATTCAGAAAACACGGAAGAATATTTGCTGGGGTGGCTGTGCATGTTACACACTATTTCCCGAAGTTATGACTAAATATGTCAGATTTTCATATTTCGGGGTTTGATTTCATTGATATTCCAGTTGTGGGGAACAGTTTGGGATCAATTTATGACGTAACTTGGTATCTAAAAATGTGAAATATGAGTTCCTTTTGTTTTTTTTTTGTTTTTTTTGTTTTTAAATGAGTTCCCTTTGTTATGTTACTCTAATTGTGAAAACTGCTACGACTCTGGGATATACGAACCAACTTGGTTGATGTTATTCTGTTTTTTTTTTCCTCTATTTTGCTCAAATGGCAGCAGACCCTATGAACGATGTCGTAAGTTTTGGTGCCGGTTAAACTATTACGAACAAACTGTCATCATTAGAGGCTCTGACTTTGTCGATCAATCAAGTACTAAAGTAAAACCAAACCGGGTTATAGAAATCATTGCTGAATAGTTGGTTATACTAGCTCTTAAAGTAGTTGTTCTTGTTCCATAGTCTTTTCTTTGTACGTCATAATTATGATCTTGGGGTGTTGAGGGAAAAAAAATAAGTCAGAAGATATGGGGATGTGCTGCATGGAAGTCGGTTGTTGGTACAGGAAGTGAAAAAGACCGGCTAACCAAATTGTAGGGGAAAAGATGGAAAGAAAGTGAGATAGCAGCATAATGCAAAGAGAGAGATACAAAACAATAAAACAACTACAAATTAGGTTGGGGCTTAACCTATATTGGTACCAAATCAGGACATGCATCAAAAACTGAGGGAGACAAGTATGTTTGACAATGAAGTGACACTCTCCCATTTTACTATTTTAGTATTTTACCGCCTCTCCTTTTTGCTCTTTGTCCTTCAAGGGTCCCAATCCCCCCCACACCCCTATTCAGCTTTTCTTGGTCCTAAACGCAAGTGCATGTGTGACTTGTTGTCAAAAACAAAAACACGATAAATGTTTCAAGATTTGTATTATTACATTTTTATTTAAATCATTTTACTAGAATACAGAGAAGTTATGTTATGTTTTGTTATCTTTTCCAGACCAGTTATTCCGGTTGGAGTGACTAGGCATAACATTATGTGAAGACCACAATTACAAGCTGTATATGCAAACAAATATTTGATATAAACCAATATTTAGAGAAAAGAAAATGCATAATTTCGAAGCTGATATTAATCTTTTGCTGTATACATTTTCGACGAAAAAGTTTTCAATCAAGGTCTCTCTAAAGAGTGGTCCATCTCTTCAAACTGATTGACGACCCAAGAAAACGAAATACATGAAATCACGTCGGCAACTTATAACCACTACAAGAACAACACAAATTTGACAATGGATTTCGTGGTTCGAATCTCGAATTTGTCACCAAAAAAAAATGTTTATACAGAGTTACAATAACGAAAACCGTTTTAACTATTGCAAATTGGTGGTAGAAGTAATCTCTTCTAGCTGATTTCTTACTACTCATTAGCTATTTATATATGTAGTGGTATGAAGAATAAATCAAACTTTGACCGAATCTAATCTTATTGTAAAACACCCAAAAGAAAACCTCAAATCACCATATGAAAAAAACACGTTCAAAATCATCTTTTATTACCATGAAGGTCATCATCAACAACTTTAAACTAGTCAATGACCTAATCAAGATGATCCAACGTAGAAAGAGAGAGAGAGATAGGATGATGACACACAAAATAAAGAAAGAAAGAAATAAGAGGAGGAAGAGAGAGAGAGAGAGAGGGAGAGATATCCAATCAAATCCCCACCACAAAAGGCAGGCACTTGGCAAAAAAGAAGAAACACATCGATGTCCAACTTGGTCACACATCATTCACATTTTTGTGCTTTTCCATTGAAGCCATCGAATGAAACAAACCAAAAGGGACCACTCTCTCCTATCTTAATGGACATTCACTATGACACGACACTTTGTGGGACTTTTCTGCATCACCCACAATCACAACAAAAAGATTCCTCCTTTCTTTCTTTCTTTCTTTCTTTCTTTGGGGCAAACCATAGTTTTTTTAACATAACAAACCAAAAGGTGAAGTTGTTTGTTTTGTTTTGGTTCTTTACCCAAAACACCAAACTTAAACTAACATTATCAGCAACATTTTCATACTGGGGACCCAATGTGCCGTTTCATTTTGCAACAAGATTTGAGTTTTCTTATACACATTGTGGCTTCTGCAAATAAATTTAGAGACTAAAACTTGAAATGAAAGTAGCATTTGCTAACAATAATAGTGCTTTTATTGCGGCTTGTTTTCTTGTTCGTCGGCTTTCCAGCTTTCGTGCGATGCAACGTGCTTGTGCGAAGGAGTATATTCCTGCCAAGCATATGAAATAGTTTCAGAAACAAAAATGGAACTGAAACATACTCATCATACCAAGACTATGTTTTACACAATGATACCAAAAATGTATAATGCCGTTGAGAGATTACATCCTGTGATTATTCAAACTGCATTTTGTATTCCTTATGATTCTCAAGGAGATTGTGTTCACTATGAGATAACCGTTTTCTCATCTATAAGAACAGAACCTCATAACACGAAGAAAAGTGAAGGCCAAGTTAATGTACCTCCATCTTCTCCATAAGCTCTTTGGCTGTTGGAGCAGAAACCACAATATTACGTGCACCTGGCTTGATGAAACCTTCTTCGACGCCAGTGTCAAATAAAGCAAGCAAATTGTTATAGTATCCATCAACATTCAATAGACCAACCTGCAGATACAATATCAAACGAATCAGCAGAGGTATTATTTGCCTAATTCTTCTTCGAATGAGCAAAGGACATGTTAAAATACCGTCTTCTTATGGATACCAAGTTGTGACCATGTTATCATCTCCAGCAACTCCTCCATTGTTCCATAACCTCCTGTAAAAAAAACCGTGATTCTCGAGACCAAAACTTTTAACTTCAGAACTTGCTAGAATCAAATACTAAAGACGTTTTCTCACCAGGGAGTGCAATGAAGGCCTCAGCTTCTTGTGCCATTGCAGCCTTTCGCTCGTGCATGTCTGCAACAACTCTTACATCTCCCACAGTCTCACCAGATATCTGATGAAATCAAAGTCATGAGACTGGGGGAATAAAACTCATACAAATCCTCATATTTAACCAAAAACAGAAATCAAAAACATTGTGTCTCTCATGATCTTGAATCATATGAACGCAGGCAAAAACCAAGAGCTTAGTAAGGCAAACAAATGACTAACTTCCAAACACATGATTCATCATTAGATAAAATTTCAAAACAAGTTTTCTAGAAGAAAAGATACATACCTCAATAGGCATCAAAGCTTTGGGAATGATCCTGCAACCACAAGAGAATCCAATCAGAATCCCATTAGAGAAGTTTGGAAATGAAGGAGATTGAAAGAGTTAGAAAGCTGTTTGAAGACTCATAAAACTAACCCGAGTACATGGAAACCACCTTCATAGACTCTCCTGGATATCAAACCCATCAACCCAACACTTCCTCCACCATAAACCAAGTCTATCTTCCTCTTCACCTACAAGTTCCAACAATTCCAACATCCAATCACACAATCAAAAAACAGAGGAAGACCCATTTCAAAAAAGACTCACAGCTTTTCAAATGACAACATCCCTAGATATAAAGAGTCAACAAACAAGGATTAACAGCCAAAAACCACAAGACGCAATCTCAGATAAAATCCACCAAACCCATTGTGTTAAAGTCATGTGGATGAACAAGTAAACTAAAAAGTTCGTATTTTGACATTCAAAAACCAAGCAGAATCTGTCCTCTTACGAAAAAGTATTGATTTTGAAGAAAGGTTCATACTTTTTTATCACAAAAACCAAACTATAAGCAATCAAAAGAAGAAGAGAGAGAGAGAGAGAGAGCAAACGAGTTCATTGCCGAGTTCGATAGCAGCATCACTGAAAACTTCTCTGTGACCAGAGTGGCTTCCGCAAAAGACACAAATTTTTCTGAATCTGCTTAGCTGATTATCTTCCATTAATGGATAAAAAAGAATCTACAAAAAAAAATATCAAAGGAGGTATTCGCTCGAGTCGTTATGTATAAAGAAACCAAAACAAATCAAGGGAAGAAGAAAGACAAGAGAGAGGGGGAAGGCAAAAACAAAATGACAAGACGAAACCTTTGTTGTGTGATGATATATTAATATAAGGGGGGAGCATACAAACAAGATTGAAATATCCGCAAATGGAGAAACTCTTTTTTTGGATTGGAAGAAATTGGTAGAGAGGAGTGCCTTCGTATTTAAATTATTATTTATTTATTTATTCTAGCTTAAATGATAATAAAATAAATATATCGGATAATGATAATATGGTATTTTGGAAGTAAATTTATATATTTTTTTGTAAATTTTTGCGGTTTTATCGATTTGGAGTTTTGTTTTCTAAAATTCTTGATTATATCCACTGAATTAATTAGCAAAAATATTATTAAAAAAACATTAATTTGTTTAGGTGAATTTAGCGTATTTTACATGTTTATTTTTTTACCCTTTATAAGACCAAAAAAATTTCAAATGATTACGTTTTTACACTTTATATGTTACTTTAATATTAACTTTTTAAAAGATAGGTTTTGATTTGATTCAAAAAGATATGTGTATGAAAGATTTTTGTGTTTCGGTTTCTGATATACCTTTCGCCATCGTCCATCGTCCATTATCAAACATAATTCTTAATTAAATGATAGGTTTAGTTAATTGAGAAAAAAAAAATCAGCTTCAATTCTTTTTAAAAAAACAAAATTTAAAAATAAGCTTCAATTCTTGTTTTAAGAAGTGTGGAAAAGAGTCTAAAATATGCAAGTTTTGAAAGTTGAGGGAAAAATTTTGGTCTAATTATCTAGTGGGGGGGGGGGGGGGGGGGGATATAAAACACTTGTTTATAATCTTGTATAGTTTAAACACATTTGATGCATCAAGTGCTCTTAGGCTTCGAGTTTGATCACACGTTAGAATATTTCCATTGAATTATAACTATAGTGTATATATAGACTCTTGCTCTCTGTTCACTGTATTTTCAACATGTTTTTCTTTTTATAACTTGCAATAATGTATTTATGTACGAACCTACGAAATTGCTTTGCTCTTTCTTTTTTTTGACATCATGTCTTAGAAAACTATACTTGTGGTATAGATGGCGAACAGAGGAAGCCCACATGAGCAAGCCTCGTCCAACTCCGATCTGTCGCCTTTTGTATTCTTTTATAATCATTATATAAATATCGTCTTTTTCGTTTGTCAACTATATATATATATATATCAATTTCATTTCATGTAACGTGTTTTATATTTTCTTCAATGAAATGAAAATGCTAAATAGGGTATTTTAGTGGCAAACGAGACTACAACCTTTTTGATCAGTTCTTGGTTTTCGATAAATGGATATGAACTTTGATAGTTTTCTTCCTTACTAAGAGTTTGTTTGTTGATTTTATCAAATCTTAGATAGTTAGATATCTACGACAATTTTATTAGTAATACATATGTCTTCATTACCATTGACCGCAACAATTTTTAAATACATAACATAACAATATCAGTGCAAGCACGCAAATGCACGAACCTATGTTTTGCTTTATTATTATGTGCTTGTATATCATACATAGACGTATCTTTGACTTAACGATATCTAAAATTCGATTTGAAATTTCTTTGCTATATAAAATAAAATAAAAGTAACATGAATGATTCAATTCTATTGCAATTATTTCATTATTTGCACTCGGAAGGAGATTACTTAAAAAAAAGTTTGGATGATGATGTTACGTAGAAAAAGACATTAACCCTTTAAATAGTATTTGAATAATACTACTAGTATTTATTTCCCAAGACAATTTGAAAAGTAATGTTCCCAACATGGCTTACCCAAAATTGATTGTCCTCTCTGTACCTCTGTTCCTCTCGATCCGATTGAGCCTTGATCATTTTTAAACTTAACAAAAAAAAAAAAAAGTCAGCATTTTATAACTCAGACTTCTTCCTAAGAAAAAAAAAGGTTTTGTATAACCGGTTGATTTGAAAGCCTTCACAACCTATATTACAAGTTTTTAAAGAAACAGTTATATAATTATAATAGTGAACGATAATCCCTGGTTCAATTTTTAGAGCTTACTTGTATTAACATGAGCATAATGGTCATATCCGTGTCAATAGAAGGAAAAAAGATACGCAGCTACATGTAGTATGTTACAATACATGGCCACACATCCGAATTTTAAAAATGTATCCCTAACTACACAAACTATATGTATTGCATGTCCACATATACGAACTATATGTAGTCATGTCGCCAACATCACGAACATTTTTTCCGGTACACTTTTCGCCGGAATCCGGCGTTGACCAGTTTTACCGGCGTTGACCAACACAAATATTAAAAAAATAAATTTTAGTTTTTTAATATTTAGAAATTATGTTATTGAATCATTTATAATAATGTAAATTAAAAATATATATATATAATATTCAATAAAAAATATTTTGTATATATATTCAATGCATTGTTTTTTATAATTAGTTAGTTTCGATAATTTCAAAACTAAACTAAAATAAAAAACCAATTAGGTAAAATAATAATAAAAA